TTCCTTCCTTCCTTCCTTCCTTCCTTCCAAATGCTCTTGAGCTGCATGGGAGTTTCCTTTTGGCGTAAGGTTTTGTCGATGCCACTTAGGGCCTTTGTCTTTTCAACAGCCAGAAAATATCATGCTGTTTCAGAAGGGCGACCCCAAGATCAAGATAATTGACTTCGGCTTGGCTCAAAATCTGAAGGAAGGAACCACCTTCAAAAGCCTGTGTGGGACTCCACAGTACATTGGTAAGGGCCACGCAAACCACGGTCCTCCCCAGTGTTCCCTCTAAGCTGAGTTAGGGTGAGCAGGCTCCCAGTTTTTTAGCCACCAGCTCACCCATTTTCTGTCTTCGCTCAGGAAGGAGGGCTCCAGGGCAAACTAATGTATACAGGAGCCAAATCGCTCACAACTTTGATGCCAGTAGAATTCTTGCTCACAAGACTCCACAGCTTAGAGGGAACATTGGTCCTTTCCTGTCCCCGATTCTAGGGTGAGGAATAGGCCCCCCCAACCTATAACTCTACTACTGCAGGCCGTGGTGGTGGTGGTGCTGCATGTCAGAGTGTTCCCCTGAGTTTGGGGGGGGGGACGGTATGCAGAAGGTGAGTAAGCCGGTTGCTGCGTGGTCTTCTCTCCATTTGCTCCCCAAGGAAGCTTCTGGAAGAAAAGATCATCTCTTAGGGTACTCTCTAGGCTAAGAATGGGTTAGATCCCAGGGATCTGTTCTGCGAATGGCAGCACTGGCCTCCATTAGCAGAAAAGATTCACGGGATCCAGTAAAGGTGGGCAGAGAGAACCCACGGATTGTATTTGGACCGTGGAACCCCTGCAGAGGCCTCTACAGGTAAGCTACTCTTCTCCCTCCCCCACAACGAGAGAGGCAACATTTCTGGAAACTTTGAATCTGTAGGGAGGGCTTTCAAATTTAAATTTCGTTTATGCATCATTTGTTCTGCTAGCAGATAAAATTGTGCTGTTTGGCATATTGATGGACTTCAAAAGCATAATTGTCTTAATTTTCTGCTAGGAAACACTGAACTCTTTAATCTCTGATAATGTATTTACATTGAATATGTTATAGTACAGTTATAGTTGTTGCCAAACTTTATTTACATTGAAACAAAAAAGGTTCTTGAAAATGTTGTGCAGAGCTGTACTAGTGGTACAGAATTATTGGTCTGTACTAGTGCTACAGGTGGTCTTACATAAAAGTTTTGCGCTACGCGTTTTAAGTAGCCTTTTGCCTTTCATTGCACTCCTTCCAAAAGGAAAAAAAAATCAGATTTTTTTCCAGTTTCTTCACAAATTTCCCAATTTTTCCATTGGGAAAAATGTGAAAGTCCTCCGACTTTTTTTGTGCTATATACGTTTTGAACAAGTGGGAGACTTCTTGGGGTTTCCCAGCTCTGTCGTTTTGTTTGGCACGTGACCCAACGCAGAGACTTTGGTCAGCAGCCGGGAGGGAGGGACACCGTGGCCGCCTGGCTCCCGAGAGTGCCGCAGGGGCGCATGCATGTGCTGCCACCCGGGGCTGGGCCTCCCCCCTCTCGTCCTCCTGGGTCTGTATAGGTCGGAGTGGCTGCCCTTTGCTCCCCCAGGGGGGCACCCCTCGTCCGCTCCTTCCCGTCCTAATTTCTTCTTCCTGCCGTCTGCTGACTGATGAACTGAAATGGGTTTTTTTTTTTAAAATCATACCTGCCGTCTGCTTCGAGTCACATTGAGAAAGGTAGACTGTAAATGAAATTAATATTAATTAATAATTCTTCCTCAGCCCCTGAAGTGATCAACTATGAGGCCCTGAGCTGCGCGACGGACATGTGGTAAGAGCCACGGGATGGCGTTTCTCCAGGTCTGTATGCACCCACGGCGCGCGGGGATGGAAGCCAGGCTGCCTACCGCCGACTTCAGGAAATAAAGCCACGCCGACTAATCCAATACGGGGTGCATTTATCTGATTTATTCGAAACGGGGAGGGGGGGCTGCATGGGCTTTCAGGGGGATCTCACCCCCCCCCCCGTATCCCCCTGCCCCCCACCATCTCCTCTTCCTCTTCCCTGGCTGTCCCCGTAAGCCTATCGCCTTTTCCTGCTTCGTTCTCTCCTACCCATCCACTAGCCAGCTTACCTTTCTCTTCCCCCTGCCTTTATTTATACATTCGAAGTATTTCTGTGCCCCCTTTCCACCCTCTCTTCAGCTTTCCCTCCCTCCCTCCCTCCGGAAAGCAGCGGTGCCCAACAGTGCAGGGAGTGAGTCTGCAGTGGTTGCGGTGGGGCCTGTCCCTGGCAAGAACTCCTCCTTCAGGGAGGGGAGGGGGCTTTTTTGTGAGACTTGGAAGGCAAGGCAATACTGTTGTCGTTGCCTAGCAACCACCCAAGGTCTCAGAATGTTATGTCACTGGATTCTTTTCTTAAAGCTACAGGTGTTGTTTGTGCAATTTTGGGGAGTTTTAATCACCCAATGTATTTTTTTATTTATTTTTTAGATTTCAGGTATTTTTGCAAACCTGGGGCTTCCTTCAGGTTTGTAGAGAAATCTCCTGTCTGTCTTCCTCCATCTTGCAGGTTTTTGATGCACCCTCTCTGGCCTGGTTCGAAATTAGATGTATGATATTCGTGTGCCATTTTTCTCTTTGGGCTTCAGAGGGCATGAAGCAGACTGTGGGGTTTTTTTTAAAGGAGTCACACCCCGGGTGATAGGTGCTTTCCTGTCCTCTCCGTCTCCCTTGACATGATCCAAACCAGCTGCACGCGGTGTTGGGTGGGATCGGTGTCCACCACCCTGGATTCCCTTAGGGGGGTGTCTCTTTCTCTTCCAGGAGCATTGGCGTGATCACATACATCTTGTAAGTACCCCAGACTGATTCTCTGTGGACTAGGGTGGGGCTTGGAGGGGAGTGAGATCCCACTGGGGGCTTGGGGGGGGGGACTTGTGTGCTTTGCGCCTCACAGGCAGGCGGTGCGTGAAAGGACACGCAGGCCAAGTCTCTGAGAGGGCACTGCTCCCCCACCCCCAGCGCCCTGTGAGCTCCCTTCCGGAAGACGGCCCTCTTGGCTGGGCTGCTGTTGGGGGACACAAGGACTCCTGCCTGCGTGCCTCGCTCCCCTTTCAGACCCGGGGGGGGGGGGACGGGGCGACCATGGAGGGCGGGTGCTTTTGGTGTCACATTGGAGCTGGTCACATCAGCACTGGAGTGGATAGGCTTTGGTTCAGTTCTCATAGAAGTGCATCCTGAATGGTTTGAAGCTGCCCCCCAGAATAGGGGAAGGGCGTGCTTCTGCGAGGTCCCACCTGATGGTGTGTTGATGCCTCGAAACCTGTTGTTTAACTGTGGTGTTTATGTTATGGGGTATCTTGAAGGGGGGGAAAGAGATCCCACTTGGAGAAGGAGGGCTGCACTTTGCAAGTCAACCCAGTCATATCTTCTCTTGGCTTTTCGCGAGGGGGCTCCAGATGAGCCTAATTTGCCATCCTCTGGCTGTTCTTCTTTAAAGCCTTGTTTAAAAGAAGCTGGGCTGATTTACGCTGCTGGCCCCCAGCGATGACGCGTCCCTTTCTCTCCCCGCAGGCTGAGCGGTATGTCTCCGTTCCAGGGGGAGACGGACACCGAGACGCTCTCCAACGTCGTGGCCGGCTCCTATGAGTTTGAGGACAAGTATTTCAGCCAGACTTCGGAGCTGGCGAAGGACTTCATTCGACAGCTGCTGGTGAAGGAGCCCGGGTGAGGCTTCCCTTGCCCTCCTGGTGGCTCTGTCCGTCGGGGGTGTGTGTGTGTGTGTGTGTCTTTCTGCAGCTGCTGGACCGCCTCGGCCCCTCCGCCACAGTGGTCTGTCTGTGAATCGGCCAGGGGCAGGTGGGCCTTGCCTGGGGCAGCCCTGTCAGTTTCAGGCCACGTCTGAACAGCCTTTTTCCATGCTGGGGGGGTCTCTCTCCAGTGGCTCCGGAGAGAATGTGGGTGGCTCTGGCGGGGGGGGGGGCGCCGGGGTAATGGAGTCCCGTGGGAGTGTGGGTTAGGGTCTCCCTGCCCCCCCGGTGCATGCCTGCTTCTTGCCAACTGGTCTTGCTGAGGAGCAGGAGAGGCGTGCGCGGGGGGGGGGGCCTTGTGGTACAACAGGGAACATCGTTTTCTGTATTTCTGTACTTCAGGAGCCGAATGACAGCGGCCGAATGCCTCCTCCATCCCTGGATCAAGGTGAGGGCCTGCAAGGCGAGATGCGGGGGGAGCCTGTCCATCCGCCCTTCCCTCTTTCGGTGGGATGAGAGGCCACCTTAAAGGCTGTTTTTATGGCAAGCGGAGACCTCAAGGGCCCGGGGGGGGGGGGCATTTTTCCCAATGATTTTTTCCCCTATGATTGGAAAAATTTAGGCAGCTCTGGAAAAAAATCCCTCTTAAATATTTTCTCTTCTGGAATGAGTTAAAGGCTCTTTAAGGCAAAGATTTCATGTGGATTGCGTAGCATTTCCCCCCAAATGCACGACGGAAGGTGCAGCAGTACTGCATGCTTGCAATTTTGCTTGTCGGAAATGGGGTCAGTTTGTACTTCTAAATTCCATATATACGCTAAAAAATATTTTAACTAAGTTATAAATGATGCATTTTATGCTGTTAAAACTATCACACGAGCTTAGGTTTGATAAGTATGTCTTGCATGTATTACTATAATTTCCCCCCGAATTTCTGGGGTTTTATCCCCCTGGGAGATATCTGGAATTTTTGCACCTCTGGGGGCAAGAAGCTCCCCCCCCCCGACCCAGGACTCTCCTTAGGCTTAAAAAGTGCTTCAAGATCCCATGGGGGGGGCAATCTTTGAACCTGCAGTCGGCCTTCCCCTCCCCTTCTGTGCGCCTCTGTGGTGTGCGGGGGGGGGGGGTAGCCGCGTCTGCCTGACACTCTGCGTGTGCGTGTGTGTGTTCCCCCTCCCCCCTCCCCCGCAGCCCCTCAACCGGAAGCAGGCGGTCAGCCGGAACCGGTCCTCGATCAACATGAAGAACTTCCGCCGGTTCAACGCTCGGAGGAAGTGGAAGGTAAGGGGTTAGCCGGGCAAAGGTACGGGTGCCCCTGGAGCCACAGGTGGGCAGGAGGGCACCCCAGCGCCCAGTCGGAGATGGAGGGTGTCATTGGGTAGGATTCAGTTGCATTAAACCCCCCCCGAAGTCTGTTGCTTTTTAAAATGTGAAATGGTCCGATCCTGCTGGGGAGGCAGAACACCCCCACCCCACAGACGCTTCCAGGCAGGCCGTGAGTCAAGTCCTCTGGCTGGCCGGGGGGTGCAGCATGACCGTGTCAGGCCGTGCGGATGGGCCTCCGGGGAGCCGCCCCCCCCCCGTCAGATGGCTCCTGGGCGCGCCAGGCTCTCCCATCCTCCAAGAGGGCTGGCTCAGAAGGGGGCGGTCGAGGAGGGCCGCTGCCTCCCGCAGGCCATTCCCCGATTGGGGGGGGCAGGGCCAGACCCTGCTTGGGCCGTGGCGGATCTTGCTGTCCCGGCAGAGGGTGTGAGGAGCGGGGACGGGAGCCGCTGGGTTCATGCAGGGAGGGCAGGGCCTTCTGATGGGCGGCCCCCGACCCGGAAGGGGTTTTCTGGCCAAAGGCGGAACCCGAACTTGAGTCCAGACACTGAGCGGCAGGCAGATCTGTGGGGCTCCTGTCTTGAAGAGAAGCCCGCCGGCGGCGGCCAGGGGTGG